GGTGCAGGACCCAGCTCCTCTCCGGGAGCCTCTGACCCCTTCCAGGGAAGTGAGGAAGAATGCCTCCCCTTTGCTGAGAGCCTGATCTTCCACAACTGGCCTTTTGTTGGGTTTGTTTAGATAGAAATAGTTCCTCATCCAAGGTAGACATCCTTTGCCCTTGGGGACTGTTAACTTCGGGCAGTGCACGGCCAGTCCTGTTTCCCAGCAGTCCACACCCTGAGGTGCTCTCCAGGCCCTGAGCCTCCTCACTGGCAAGCCTGCTCCTGTGGACCTGCTGCTCTCCCTCTCCCATCAGCACTGACTCCTGGCACTGGGCTTGGCCTGCTCTGCTGCGGTGGGGTGGGGTCGAGGTTCTGAAGACCCTGGACAAGTGGGCTTGATTTTTCTGCCCCTCGGTTTCCTCATCTGCAAAGTGGAGGCAATAATCTATCTCACACACAGGACGGCTGGGGTATTTAGATGAATTCACACGCAGAAGCAGACTCCAACAAATGCCGCATGTGCTTACCTCCTGGGGCTGCTGTAGCGAATTATAAAGTTCGCCCTTCACTTCCACAAATCCGTGGCGTCAACTGACCATGGGAAGAGCGTATTGCCCCCAAAATTGTACACACTGAATATATACGGACTTCCTATCATTGTTCACCAAACAATAGAGCGAAACAGTTGGCACAATGTCCATTGTGTTAGGCATTAGAAGTCGCCCAGAGAGGACTTAAGTGTTGTAGGAGGTGGGTGGTTCTGTGTAAATACCAAGCCCTTCTATAGGAACCAGGGCATCTGCAGGTTCTGCTGCCGCCTCCATGGCAATCCTGGAACGCATCCTTTTGGGTACTGAGGGACAACTGGATGCCAACTGGGTGGCCGCAGACCAGAGAGGTTTATTCTCTTTCATCTGGAGCCAGAGGTCTGGAACGGAGGCCTTGGTGGGTCCAGGCTCCCTCTGAGGGCTCCTCGGAAGAGGACTCCCTGGAACAGGTGCCTGTGCTAGGCAGAGGGAAGCCGGCTGTGAAGGCAGTGGCTGCAGAGAGGACACACTGCTGCCCTGGCAGACACCGTCCACACCGCCCAGGGCTCAGAGAGACGCAGGATCGAGTGAGCATCCTGATCAGCTGATTCCTTCTGTTACGGGGCCCTGACCCAGGCAGCCGCCAAACTGGCGACTTCGCCTCTCCAAGCAGCTCGGGTGTCCCAGGCACTGGCACTGCTCAGGACTCCTGGGGACAGCTGGCAGCGAGCACAGGAAGGGCCCTTGGTCTCCCTCTGTGGACAGGTGCAGGGATCCGTGCCCCGTCCACACGGGTCAGTGACAGACAGCCAAGCAGGGGCCCGAGTGTGCACCGGTGAGGCCCATTCCCACGGCGGGGAGGGGTGGCAGTGGCCTTGTTCCCTGGAGACAGCCGAGCCTTCGGCTGAGGGCCCTCCTCGCCATCCTCATTTTCCCACGCTGTGTATCCCTAAAGAAAGCAGCAGCCATGCCCACCCCTGGCGTCCAGCAGGGAACAGGAGTGAAGCCCCTTCCTTTGGCCGCTGGTGACCCAGGCGCTCCCGCCACACTCCAGAGCCCAGGTGCCCGGTCCCCAGCTCAGTCCCCCATGGTTCTGAGGGTGAGGAGGAAGACGGCACGGATGCATTTCGATGTTTCCCTGGGGGTCGGGTGAGAGAGCCGAGGGCCACAGCACCGAGCATGCAGGACTCGGAACAGAGCTGTGGGCTTCCTGTGGCTGTGTCTGGGCTGAGGCAGGGCCAAGTCTACAGACTGGCAATGCCCATCTAGGCAGTGGAGGAGGTGCCGCAGCCTGCTTGTCTCCTGGGCTACAGGGACAGCGGCCCACTGGGGAGAAGACAGGTGTGGATCTGCTCACAGGAAAAACATGTTTCCAGACAGCCCTCTGTCCCCTGGTCTTTTTCCAGAATTCTAGTCTCGATGAATCAGTAGAGGTTCAAGAAGAAACGTTAAGGCCCTGAATGTTGATTGGCAGGGCTTCCCAGGCCAGCGAGCAAAGTGGCACTCTGCAGGCCTCGCTGTGCTCGTGGCTTGCTTCCTGGCCTGTGCGATTTGCTTCTAGGCCTTGCTCCTTCCTGGGCAGATGTGTGTCCCATCTTGGTGCAGTATGGCTGCTTATGGGCATTTGCTTATACTGCTGCAGGCTGTGCGCCCCCTGAAGGACCGCTTCTCCAGCAGAATGGGGAGAAGAGAGCTTCCCCGGATGGTGCACACAGTGCTCAAGGGGGCTCTGGTTCTCGTCCTCTTGTTCCTCCTGGTTCTAACAGTGTGCGTGTGTCCTGGTGAACCCCAGTACCCTGTAGCTCCACCATCATAGTACAGTGGTCTCGTGAGGCCAGCCATTTGGTTATCATTAAGAAATCCCTTTTGTGACTCTTCAGGTGGCCTAGGACTTTTTACATCAAGCCCTCTGGGTTTCAAGGTTAACTACTACCTGCTGCCCGCCAGCCTTAGACTCATCCCTCAACTGTGTGCTCACAGGACCAGCTGAAGGCTGACGGTTTTAGACCTTAGGGACGTGTGTTCAGAAAGCCGGGGGCGAGATGCAGTTTCACCCGCTGTGTTTGGAGCTTGACTTCTGAATGCCTCTTGGAGCTTCCTTTGTGTTTGGGGTGATGTCAAGGGGCAAGGAGGGGCGCTGTGGCCAGGAATGAGGAATGCAGTTCTACGAAGACAGATGGATCCGTGTCCAGGCCTTTTTCAGCCTTAGCTTCCACGCAGAGGTGCTGGCTTGCTGGGGCTGCAAAACAGCCTGGCCACAGGTCCTTTAATAACCAGGAGGGCTCTGAGAAGTGGGTCACTGGGCAGTTTCCCGTGCAAACATCTTAGAGTCTGTTTACGCAAACCAAGATGCCTACAGAATCGTTCTGCACTCCAGTCCCCTGGGAGCACGGTCATATGCAGTCTGTGGTGACCTCGACTTCACACAGAGCAGGACTCCGCTGCACCCTGGGCGGCTCTCCCCGCAAACTCCTTCCCTTGGTTCCAGAGGCTGGAGGTCCAGAACCGAGCCTCCGCACGGCGGGCTCCCTCTGTGGCTGAGAATGAGCTGACCTGGAGACTCCCCTAGGCCTGTTCTTGGTCACCTTTTGCAGGCTTCATGCCATCTTCCCTATGTACATGTCTGTGTCCAAACTTTGCTTTCATAAACAAGAATCCCCAGGCTCTCCCTCATGACCACATCTTTATTTGGCCATCTGTCTGCAAAGACCTGGTTTCCATAAGGTTGCATTGCAGTATTGGGTTTAGGACCTCGGCATCTTCTGGGGGGTCACAGCGTAACTCCTAACAGGGTGTTGGAATGAGGTGAACGAGGCTGGCCTCTCACTACCCTCCTCTCGCTGCCTGGTGGCGCTAGGGTATTGGCCAAAGGTGCTATTCACTGTACCCTTTTGGTCCGAACCCCTACATCGGGCCCTTAACAGCTCACTCCACTGGAGAGATGGGCAGATGTCCTTGGCCCTCAGCTCCACACACACACAGTGGCGTGACTCCCAGGGGAGTCCTCACTACCCTCCTCTCGCTGCCTGGTGACGCTAGGGTCTTGGCCAAAGGTGCTATTCACTGCACCCCTTTGGTCCGAACCCCTACATCGGGCCTTTAACAGCTCACTCCAGTGGAGAGATGGGCAGAAGATGTCCTTGGCCCTCAGCTCCACACGCACACAGTGGCGTGACTCCCAGGGGAGTCCTGTGTGCAGAGCAATTAGTGATTCGTAAAGGGCTCGATCAGACTGGTACATTGCTCTGGTGGGTGTGTTTAGAGTAGCGTCGGCCCGGCATACAAGCTTGCACTCCTGATGTCTTCCAGGGCTTGATGCCCACCAAGCATGGCCCGGGGCTGCATTCCCTGAGCCCTGGCTCCCCCGACCTTCCCGGATGGCGGGGGACCTGGACACAGAGGCCGCAGCTAGACATGGGTACGACGCATTGGCCCGCTCCTCCCGGGCACCCTGTGTCCCTGGGGTCTTCTGCAGAGTGCTGGGGGTGTGAGATGGTAGTGCCAGTCTATTCCTCGGCGGAGGCCCTGTGGTCTTCAGAGCTGCACGGGCCACGATGGCAACTGGAGGATGGTGGGAAAGGAGGAGCTGGTGGCCCATTCTTGAGGTCCTCTGATTAGGAGCTGAGAACATGAAACGCAGGAGCCCTCGTGCAGGCTGGTGGCCCAGTGTGGTACCCTAAGAGAGCTGCAGCTGCACTCAGCTCCGTATCCCTGCCTGGGCACCTGCGTGCCAGGATCACCAAGCACAGCCAGAAGTGGAAGGTGCAGGTGGTGGCCTTGCAGCTCGAGTCAAGTGCATGGTGTGTCATGGGGCTTGGGGACACAGCTCCCTGGGATGAAGAGGTCAGGTCCCATCGATAGTCGACACGGGGCAGTGGGTTGGCACATTGGAGCCATCGCAACTAGAGAGGCAGGAAGGTGCTGCTGGCATCTAACAGGCAGAGGCCAGGGCTGCTGCCACTCACCCTTCTACACACAGGACAGCCTGCAGCAGGGACGTGGGTCCTTAAGTGATGGCATTGCGGGCTCAGGAGCCCTGGCCCCGAGGGTGAGCGGCAGCAGAGCTGGGAGCAGAGCAGCAGCACATGAAGCCCCCCCTGGGGCTGGGGAGCAGGAGCTGGGGAAGCAGTGGGGAGACCAGAGCTGAGGGGAGTCCCCAAGGTGGGCACTGGGCCCAGCGAGCATGCTGTGATGACTGTGACCCAGGGATGGAGGCCTGCTGCACTTCTGCTGCTGCGTTTGGGAAGGCTGTGTTCCCTGTGGGTCACTTGTACACAGCTGCCGGGAGTGGTGACGCGCATGTTGCATGGGGAGGGGGCAGCTCACCCAGGCCGCACCTGCACCTCCTATTTTCCACCTGGGAGAGCACAGGGCCTGAGGCAATTTAGGGAACAGAGAAATCTCAAGTAAAGGAGAAAATCATCCGCTCTCACCGCTCCCAGCCGGCTTCTGTTTGCTTTTACATACATATGTGCTTCCTCACACACAGAAAGAAAACTCAGAGCCCGCGGTAATGCGGTGGGGTGAGAGGCCTCAGGAGTGAATTGCTGGGATTTCCAGGGAAGTGAAACGCTCTCCAGGACTCCGTGCAGTCCATGCAACAGACCTTCCGTGACCGGCCTCGCTCCTGGCCTGGCTGGCGTGGCATCGCCCTGCACACAGCTCCAAGGATACGTGGCTGCTCCCCACTGTGCCCCGCAGGTGGGTGCTGACCCCGCCCCGAGGGCAGATGCGGTCACAGGCACAGCCTCTCCTGTGCACTTTCTTTACAGGGGGGTCTGGGCTCTGTGCTTCCTGGGTATTTTTGAGTTTTTGTTTTGAGGCACGATCTCCTGAACCACTGAGCTGCTCAGGCCAGGCTCCACCTGGATGACTTCTCCAGGGTGCTGGGCTCACGTGTGTGCCACTCCCCAGGCTGCTGCCCGCTCTGAAATCCCTCCAGGAATTACAGGCCATGCCAAGCTTATGAATAGATGAGTAATTATTTTAGCATGTGGCTTTTAGGTTGAACCCCATCAAATTGCTGATATTCAGCCAGTTTGGGGTTCTTTCTGAAACACGACAGGGACACTCACTGAGGTCCACGTCCACACCTGACCACTTCACATCAAACGCTGTCCACGTGGAAGAAGCCCCTGCAGGAGTGGGACTTGTGGCTGTCCTTGGGTGAGGCCGGATCTCCACAGTGAGTCCCCAGTCAGGCCACCTGTGGGGTCTGGGAGGTCACCACACCTGGGGCGGGGAGGCGGGAGGAGACTGTACTTTCCTTTACCTTATCAGAGAGTGGCCTAAGTCACTCCACTGGAATCTGAGGGCTGCATGAACAGAGCCTCTATGGTGGGCGCAGTGCTGAGCTCAGGGGCCAGGAATCACAAAACCTTGGCCCTGCACCCTCCTCAGGTGTGGAGCCAGCAGGAAGCTGTGCCCTAGGTCTGCCTTGGGGAAGTCCAGGAAGAAAGGGGCCACCTTCCTCTTTAAAACAGGTAGCTGCAGGCTCTCACCTGACGCAGCCCAATTCCACTTTGGGAGACTTCACTGAACAGCAAATTCTCTCTGCTCCCCCTTCCTGCCCAGGGATCTTTGGCAAGCAAAAGTTCCTGGAGATTTTTCATCAGAGCAGCAGCATCAGAAGTAGATTTAAACTTTGAGTCTTTCTGGTGGCTGAGAATCCGCCAGCCCAGTGCTTCTGGGCCAAAGCAGGGCAGAACGTGGCAGTGCGGAGCGCTGGCTTCCTGTTTCCAGGCTTCACCCGTTGTTTCCTTAAGTGACTGAGTCACGCCCAGTGGGTCCGCTCTGGGGACAGTGGCTGGGCCCAAGGTGCTGGATTTGGGGACAGAGGAGAGAGAGAACTCTCAGCGTGTGGGGATGGTGGTGTTGATGGCACAAAGGCATGAATTTCTTTGTCACCTCTGTTTGTCCTGCTGCTGCCATCTCAGACTGGAAGAGGCCCGACCCCAGAGTGTCTCAGGAATCACATCCTTCACCACCACCTCTTCATGTGGCTTCTAAGTACTGAGTTACAAATGCTCAGCTACAGGACTCAATGACTTCCCTTTGCCGGCAATAATTCCCTCAAAATACAATAGGAGAAAGAGATGACATTCACAGTCGCAGCAATGCCAAACCCAAATCTAAAAATTTTTTAAGTGTTCTGGAAGTGTTTTCTGGAAAGAGTGATTTTTTTCACTAAGTCACCAGCTGAGGACTTGTGTGGGTCCCAGGCTCTGAGTCTTACAGCTGGACTCCAGTCTAGACAGAACCTCACTCACTCCTAACCTTAACATGGCAGTGGTAAGGCCCCATGGCCCACCACTTGTGTTTTATAAATAGTTTTATTAGATCATGGTCACAATCACTTGCTGAGTAAGGACAGAATTGAGCCTTTGTGACAGAGAATGTTTGGCCCCCAAAGTTTAATTTACTCTATATCCCTTCAAAGAGAATTAGATAAATGGAAACCCACCATGTTTCTGGAAGAAAAAGTGAACTAGTATGAAGATGTTAGTTCTTACCAATGCAATACCAAAAAAAAAGTGACTGTCACATTACTTTTTTGAGGAAATTAAGTGGTGGGAAATAATTACTAAATCATCCTGAAATTCATTTGGAAGAAAAAATAAGGGAAAATAACTGGTAGGACCTTAAAGGAGACTGGTCCATTGGAACTAGTTCTCTTACATAATAAGAGTGCTGTGGTTAAGTAAGGGTTGACAATGTTATAGAAATTGGCAGGCTAATGACACAAGACAGCCCTCGTGTCTGTGACCATTAAAATGCATGAAGGTGACATTGCATCAGTAGAAGGGGACGTGTTGTTTCAGAACCCCATGCAGGAATAATTGCTTAGCTCTTTGCTAATTAATTTTGTGGAATTCCTCCCTGAGAAGCAAAATAAATTCTTTGTACATTAATGTCAGCACACAAACCAGTTTTTTAAATGAAGGAAAATAGATGGGAACGTTCATCTAATTTTTCACTAAAGGAGGACTTTCTGTGTTTAGGAGGAAGTCACAGAGCAGGATTGATACGTGTGCATCATGGAGACACCATCAAGTTAGCAGATGAAGTAGTGTGAGCACCAGGATATCAGCAACTGATGAGATACAGTTTGCAAATGTAACTGAGCAAAAGCTGCAAAATGAGAGTCCATGAGGGAGAAAATAAGAAGTGGTAGAAACAGTCATGTATTGCTCGGTGGGGCTCATTTTGAGAAACATGTCAGTAGCCTATTTCTTCATTGTTCAGAAAGCCAAGTGTGAGCTTACACAGTTAAGACTGGACACAGTTACCAGGCAGTGTGGTCCCACAGGACCATGGTTCATGCGTTTGGACCACTGTGCAGGATACGAGCATTTGAGAAATTTCTAAAGGAAGGCGAATTTACACTCTTGACATCTCTTCACCCTACTTGTCAGATTGTCCAGGCTGTTGAGATCCTGAAGGGCCGCAGCCTCCCAGGAAAGCATTTGGCAAGACTGCACGCTCTGCTAGGAAGTTGTCATAAGAAATTCATCCAAGGTTGGGTGCAAAGATAATCACTTCCGGGTCATTTATCATAGGACCATGGGGAGCTTCTCAGGGGAGGAGGGTTAGGCTGGCTTGGGCTCTGCAGAACTGTGGATGGGCCCAGCTGGCCTGGTCCACACTGCCCATTTCTGACACTCCTATCCCTTCTCAAATCTCCTTCCTCTCAGATGGCCCATGTCTCCTAAGTAGTGGAATCATAAGACCAGGAGATTTAAGTATGAGTACAGTGTTTTACCCCAGATCGCGGAGCGGGCCCAGAAAGGGTGGGGTCCCATGTGCAGGATTGTAATGCACCTCACACTGGGGGCTCCCACGAGGGTCGGCTGCAGGACCCAGTGCCTGCCCGGGGAGGGGACTTGCGGAGCTGGAATCAGGGCTGGCTCAGTGAGACTGAGAATGGGGGTTTATTTTATGAAATATAATTTTTAATTATAAAGAAGAAAATTGAAGGAAATTTGGAACATTTTAAACAGAAGGAAAAGCGCTTGCATTTGTTACCTGGTAATAATGTCAGCATTCAGAATAGAATTTACTTTTCTTCTATCAGGTGTTCCTTCTTAAAAACAAAGTAGAATAAAATTTGTGGGTTTGGGGCCGGGGATTTAGTTCAGTGGTTCCGCCACCTGCCCTGCAAGTGCAAGGACCCGTGTTTAATAGTTCAATCCCCGGTACCAAAAAAAAAAATTTGTGGGTTTAATTTATCCCAATATTACATCATATGGACTTTCCATTCTATTAAATAGTCTAAGAAAATGGATTTCAGGGCTCCATTCCCCATTAAGGAGATACACACTCTCCCTCTTGTGTCGCGTGATTGAGGGCTTCTCTATCTGTCTACATCCTTCATTTCCCAAGGACAGAGGTATTTGAGGGGCACTAGACAGGCAGGGCGAGTGAGAATTCACTCCACTTTCACCCCCCCTAACAGATATTGATGGTGTATGGATTTGTGGTTGGCTTACTGCTCTAAATATCTTGATGAGTAATTCAGGAGCTTGGTGGCTCATCAGTAAAGAGATCCATCCATTCATTGCTGGAATTTTGTCGATTGCTCCCTGGACTGGGCACGAGGTTCTTAGTGAGGTGGCGGCGGCACTGAAACCGCTGTCTTCCGCTGTGGCTGCAGGTCTGGCTGGCCCGGACCCTCATGGCCTTGAGCTCCTCCCTGTCCGGAATCGTCACCCTGCCCACCAGCGCCCTGACGGTTTGTGCATGAGACTTTCTGGGCATCCTGGGGACTGGTGTTGGTCGCCTTCCAGCCGTTCCTGGTAAGCTCTGCACTCCTTGGTTTTCCTTCCCCCTTGTGCTTTCCCCAAGGCATTAGATGCCTATCTTGAACAGGAGCGCCAGACTTGGTTCATGGGAGTCACTGATGAGGACTCAGCAAAACAGGGGACCATGTTAGACCCTAGAAGCTGCCTCCTCCTGCTCGTCAACCCCAGGCTTTAACCTGAGTTCCCCAGCAGAGCCCAGGGACGCCACTTCCAGGACACGCAGCCTCCATCCCTCACTTAGGTAGGAATGGGCCAGCCAGACCTGCCTCTTGGAGAGGGATCTAAGATTGGCTTGAAAAAATCCATATGAGTTCTCAGAAAGCACACTTCAGGTCTGTCTGAGGCAGTGATAGAACGATTCCTTTAAAATAGCACTCAGCTGTCAGCAGTACACTGACTCAGAGAGCAGAATCCATGTATCCTCTTTGTGAAGGACTGTGGCACATCAGGGGCCAGCGTGTGGAAGTCACAAGCCCTCCTTGTGCCGTTCTGCATCTTCAGGGAGGAATTGCTGGGGTCCAGAGCCCATCAGATGATTGGGTCTTGAGCTCCGCTGCCTCAGCACTTCGGAGCTGGCTGTGCTTTCTCCTCCCTGCCGGCCTCAGGGCTGGCTGATCACAGGACCCTCCTTCCCAGCCTGTCTGCCGGCTGCTGGGTCACAGGCCCAACCATGGACCACCGTGGATACGAGCAGCCCCTTTACCCCAGATTTGGAGGCACTGGAGTGGCACGGCTGGGTTGGTCTCCAAACCCCATGTGGTTTTCACCAGGAGGGTGATGCCATGTAGGGGGACAGACGAAGGTGCCACCCAGCACACATGGCACGAGCAACACACAAGGTGTCTCTGGCCAGCCTGTCTCCTCCCACGTCCCTGAAGACATACGCGGAACCCTGCCCTGCTCCTCCCAGCTGATGATAAGCAGTGGAGAGAAGGGAGCAGGTCCCGAACTCGGCACTAGCTGTGGCGTGGCAGCCTGTGGTGCTGAGTCAGCAGATGGGCCTGACAGTGGCAGAGCCACCAGGAAGGCAGGAAGGAAAAGGGAAGGAAAGGAAGGAAAGAAGGAAGACAGGAGGGAAGGAGACGGAAGATAGGAGACCATGAAGAAACAATGGGCAGAATAGCAGCTGTGGCACTCGGGATGGACACAGGAGCCCTGGAAGACGCCAGGGGGTCCTGGAGGGCTCCAGCATCCCATTTGCAAAGGCCCTGATTTGAGGCATCCATCTGGAAAGGGAAGGGTTTACAGCCCTGTAGGGGTGTCGAGAAAGTGGGGTCACGGGCAGCTCAGAAGTCGTGAAGGGAACAGCAGCCGTGCTGGACACGGGGGCCGTCGACTGCGGGAGCCCTGGGCCCGTGCTCGCCCGGACATGAGGATGCGTTGGAGTCCGACTTCGCACTGAGAAGAACCACCCTGCTGCCCGTGTGTGGGGGACAGGGGCCGCCCCCCAGCCCCTTCCTGTCCCCACCACAGCCATTGACCCCCAGCTCAGATTTCCTGTGGTGTCCCTCCCCAGCCCCTCGAAGGCGCTGCCCCTCTGGCCTGTCGTCCTTGCATGGCCTGACCGAGAGCCCCAACATCAGAGTCGTCCTGTCTGTGTGTCTGTCTCCGACACAGGCTCCCCAGAAGCAGACTGGGCTTTGTGTCTGTCCCCAGTGCTGAGCACGGACCTGCTTCCAGAACCTGTGCTCCTCCAAGCTGCGGGTGACCCTGTGACCAGGCGGCTGGCACCTCCAGGTGCTCGGGGCTGGGACTGGAGAGCTCCTGGGCTCCCAGCTCACCTGTGTCACGAAACACTCTGGAGGAACCCTGGGAAGCGAGTCTGGGGTCCAGGTGCCTGAGGGTGGCTCCTGCTAATGTCCCATCTCGGGAGGGGACAGGATTTGAAGTCCCTGCCAGGCCATCCTTGGACGTGCCACCACAGAGCCACATGTGGCTCCCCACAGTTGTCCAGGCCACTTGGGTCCAGACCGGAGGCAAACTTCTGTGGTTTTACCTTCACCAAGAGAGAGGTCTCTGGGTATGAACCTGGTGGCAGCCAGAGTGGCCCCATGTGGCCCCATCAAGTAACCCTGTAGAAGCCAGACATTCCCCGGAGCACCCTGTTTCTTGGGGGGAGGGGGTAAGTTCCCGCCACAGAGGCTGGCGATGGAAGTCACACTTGCTGCAAGCTGAAGGAAGTTGGGTGAAGTCAGCAGGATGCCTGGAAATTATACACCTCCTTAGGGCAGGATCAGAATTGGCGGGAGGGACCACAAGCAGTACTTTTAGGCCAGTGTGGGGTTCGGGCTCCTGAGATCCCAGGGAGACCTCACCCTGATGGGTGGGGGCCGATGGGTGGGGACCATTCCTGGGTGGGCTTGTGGTTTAGTTGCTCCTGGGACAGAGGCCACCCCCATGCGGGTGACTGGAATCCGCAGAGTGGTACGGTGGTACCAGGTGAGGGCTGTGCAGCTGCCTGGCTCACCACCAGAAGCCGACACTAATCCTGCCATGCCCAGTGTGCCCTCTGGGCCTGGTGAGCAGAGGATGGCCATGCTTGTAGGGCTGGGCCATCCCGGACCCCTGTGTAAGCAGATGTTGAGCAGAGCCAATTCCTGAGTTCAGCCTGCTGGGTTAATCCAGTCCCTCCTGGAAGATGCCCCGAGAGCCTGGCTGCCTCCACACTGTCCCTCTGTGTCCTGTGTACCTGAGAGCCGAGTGAGCACAGGCCCATCTTAGGCCAGCAGGAAGGAAGCAGGCTGAAGGGTTACATTCCAGGGACTGGGGTGAGAGGTAAAGTGTGTGTTTGTTGCTGATGAGGAAGGGGAGGATAAGAGGCGGAGGGTGTACCTGTAGCCAGAGACCTGAACAAATGGAAAGTCAGTCTGGTGAATATGCAGGCAGGGCTTTTCAGGCCAATGGGGACAGCCTGTGCAAAGGCCCGGTGACAGGAGGGGCTCAGTGCCTCTGAACTGGGAGGAGTTACTGGAGGGAGGGAGAGACTTGCAGGAAATGGAATCCAAGAGAGAGCAGGGGCCCGTAGCACAGAGCCTGGAGGCGTGATAAGCACACCCTGAGAGCTCAGAAGTTTTGGAGTTTAAATAGAGGCCTGAGAGTGTCTGGCTGCTGATTGAGGGGTGGACTGCAGGGTGTGGGGCTGGACACCGGCAGCCCTGGTAGGAGGCGCTGATTATTGTAATTGAGCTGAGATGATGGTGGCCTGCAGGTGCTGGGAAGGGTCAGACAGAGGGTAAGCTGCCGGGTGTGTGTGTGTGTGTCTGCCTTTTCAGCGGGTGAACGGCGCTGTCGAGGACTGACGTGGTGGGCTGGGGGCGGAGCTGGGGCAAGCCAGGGTGCTGGATTTGGACCTGGAAATCTGAGGTGCCCCTTTGGCACCGAGGCAGAGATCTTGGTGCAGGCGGGGGTCCCTGGCCCCAGTGGGGACCTGGCCGAGTCCGCCATGCTGTGCGGGTGCAGGCTGCCGGGCACCGGGCTTGTGGCTCCTGAGGGCTCTTCCCAGCCTCGCGGCCAGTCCTCCTCACACACGTCTGCGAAGGCAGCTAATGACAGGTCTGCGCTGCTGCCCTCCTGGTTTCCAAACCCGGCTAATTGTGGCCATCGGGGGCATGTGCGCAAATTGGGAAAATAGCACAGTGAACCTGCGGGAACTCTGAGGCGCCCCTTTAATAAGGCGAAGACAGTCGGCTGTGGGGCTGGCAACCTGGACAGAACGCCCAGGGTGATGGCTCGGCGGGTCTCCCCAGGCTCGGAAATTCTGAAATCCGGAGTCCTGGAGAGGCAGGCAGTGCCAGGAGGGCAAGGAAGAAGCCCGAGGCTCCTGAAGCACAGGAGCACACACCACAGGCTGGGCAGGTCGGGGCTGGGTTTGGCCGGGAAGCCAGGAACAGGCCTGGAAGGTGCGGGTGAAACCAGGTGTGGAGAGTTGGCGCCCGGGCGGGGGAGGAGCACTGAGCAGCAGTGCCAGGCCTGGCAGGAGAGTGTGCTGACTTCAGAGGTTGGCAGGAGATTCCGGGGCCTGACAGCCACAGTGGACTCCGGACCTGGGACGAAGTGGTCAGCAAGGCGGATGGTAGAGAGCCTCCCTCCGAGCCCTCCTGCATCCTCTGGAGTGCGGCCTTCTGGGTCTAGAGATCAGAGGAAGCCCCCTCCAGCCTTGGCCTGCTGGTGCGGCTGGCTCCGCGACCTTGCAACGCAGCCTAAGCACCTCCCTTGCCGTAGCTCGCCTGCCCTTCACATTTGTGTGAGCCCAGTTACCCTGGGGTGACGTCCACCCTGCCCTCCGCCCCAGTGCTGTGGGCAGCGGATCTGTGCCTGCCTGCTTCTGTGGATGGCATGGGAAGCTCGCCACTTGGGAGTCAGCTCTCAGCCGTTCCTGTTTCCTGTCCATGGGCCCCAAGAAAGGGGCCCCCACATCAGTCACCCCAAACAGCTGTTCCCACGGAATCACCTTCCGCCGGTCTAGTGACAACACCAGGGTTCCGTGCGCCGTGTTGCATTTTGAGGGAGATTTCCGGAGCGTGTGCTCAGGGAGCTTCCCTCCAGCCCCTGGGACCACGGAGGCCAAGTCTCCTTCCTGCGCCCGGGAGCAGGTAGTGTGGGCCGTGTGGCCTTATGTTGTCCTCTCTTCAGCAGCCTAGATGGGCTGGCAGGGACTGGAACATAGTTCACAGACCCCGCTGTGCCCGGAAGAGCAGCCGAAGCCCAGGAGACAGCCCAAGGGGTGCACAGGACAGCCAGCAGCCGCACTCCGTTCCTGCCCACCAGGAGAAGCAAAAGCACACACCTGGCAGAAAGAGGGTCCCCTCCTCCCGTGAGGCACCCTCGAAGCCATGCTCGGGGGCCATTATCCTCCTCCCCTCTTCTCTTGCAGGAAGAAGCGCACTGCCAAGTGGACACCGCCGTGCAGCACAGCTGCCTGACCCGAAGCCACAGCCGCCGTGGAGAGAGGGAGGAGGAGACATGAGGCTGTAGCACACGGGCGGGTGAGCAGGCGGGCAGTCCAGCATGGCAGCCCAGCGGATCCGGGCGGCCAACTCCAGCGGCCTCCCCCGCTGCAAGTCGGAGGGTACCCTGATCGACCTGAGCGAGGGGTTTTCAGAGACGAGCTTCAGTGATGTCAAAGGTGAGTGGGGAGGCTGGGCTGCGGGCCCTCAGGCCAGGGGCTCCGCTCCACCGTTCACCAGTGTCATGGTCGGATGCTTCCGCGTTGGCTGTCAGGGCCTCACTGCTACACGTGCAGCCCTGGGCCGTAGCTCCTGTCTGACTTCAGTGTCCGGTGTGCGAAGGTCCCCCTCAGTAATGAAACCCGCCCCGTGAGGACCTGTGTTCTCTCTTGAAAGGTTCTGGTAACAGTGTCTTCATCACTCTCCTCATCTCTGGAACACAGTCCTGGATGCCCACAACTTAAAGCAGGAGAGGTTCTAAATTTGGCTCTAAGTTTGTAGAGGTTTTGGTCCACAGCAGGCCAGCTCCGAGGCGGGGTGCTATGGCACAGGGCCCTGGCGGAGGAGAGCTGCTCAGGGCCTGGCGGACAGGAAGCAGAGCGAGCCAGGGAGGGGGAGGAGCCCTTCTAGGCCACGCCCACAGCACCCCGCCTCCTAACAGCCAGCTGTGGTGCCTGCCCAGTCGCTCACTTCCGAGAGCCCCCACCTATGGGCACATGTAGACAGACACCGTAACAGACAGTAAGGTAGGGCTGCAGAGGTAGAGAAATCTCAGAGGCAGGAGGGTAGAGAGTAGATGAAATATTAGGGATCACCAGGGAGGGAAAAATGGGGCCGGGATGCGTGGGCAAACTACGCAAGGAACGCTGCAAAACAGCATCATCACCACCGTCACAGTCGTCGCCTTCTTGAGCACTCGCCACTGACGCTGACATCACCTGCAGACCTCCTTGGAGCACAGCTGAGCAGGGGCGACTTTACCTTGTGTCCTTAGCCCTTGGCATGAACTCAGTAGGAAATTAAATGTTTCAGACACGAACTGCAGCCCCCCAGATAAATGCAGCCCTTGCCCTGTCCACGGGCTGTGTTTACATCTTTGTCATCCGTTAGCTGCTCCTCTCCACTTCCCTGGCATCTCCCTTCCCCTTCCTGGCTGAGCATCACTTTAAATGTTCTTTGAGAGACTACCAAGTGAACCATGGGTTTTCTGAGATAGAGACAAAGTCATGGGTCGCTATAAATACTGGAACCATTTCTTTTTATAGTCTGGTAGTGGCCAACCTTTTCTTTATAACCCAGCAAGTCAGAGAAGCTGAGCATGAGCTATGTGGTTTGGACCAGGCTCCTCAAGTGAGGAGCAGGGTGCTGGATTTTAAAAAACAATCAGTGATCTGAAGACAATGAGGAAGGCCAGTGTCTCAGCCCCTGAGGGCCGCAGGGCCGAGGGACTTCGGACTGTGATGCTGAGGGCAAGCAAGTGACCCAGGCCATGCCCAGCCAGCAGCTTCCCATGCATGCGCCTGGTACACACTGCTGGGGGAGACCCACTTCCAGCCAAAGTGCCTGCTGTGATGCCTTCCACCCCGGTGAATGTTTTGCCTGCATAAAACCTAGGCAGAGGGGTGAAAAAGGTATCATTGAGTGCACTTAACTTCTAATACCCAGGGAGTTTTTGTGTTAAAATCAAGGTAGCTGAGGATGTGGGCAGTGCTCCCTGAATTCATTAAGCTGGCATTCGATGGGGATGTTGGGCACTGCGTGGGGTGAAGCCCTGCCTCTCTGAGGTCCTAGGTGCTTGCTGGCAGTGCCTGGTGGAAGGCGTGACTATGTCACGGCCACCCAGGGGTCCCCAAGGGAAGGAGGGCCCCTCGCCCTCGGACAAGCCTGTCCTGAGTGATACACAGGACCCCTTCTCCAAGGAGAGTGGTTGGAATTATAAGTGAAACCATTCTTATTCTTCGGTCCGGTGAAGCTGAAATGATAATTTGCATTGATACATTTTAGGCTGTGCACAAAGCATGCATAATCGCTTTGAGTTTTTAAATTTTGAAGATAGTACTGTAAGGGAATTAATTATTCTGGAGGAGCATAATAGGGATATAACTTTGGAAGGATTCTAACAAGATTTGAATGGCTGACAAGCTTACTGAATTCTCACTGGTCTCTCATTCCTATTTCTGGTAGATGTGTCAAGGAAACAAAGCACTTGGCACTGCTGGAGACTGCGGCCAGCCACAGAAGTGGGCGCAAAGGGCCCGTGTGGTACCCGCCAACCTCACCAGCCCAGTTCCTTTCCCCACTTCTCCCTCAGAGTGCTTCTTGGGGCTCAGGAAACAGCACCTCTCTGACCTTTTCCTGTCCTCCTATCTCTGCCCCTCCAGGCATGGGAACTAGAATTCTGCTTCCCACAGAGCCGCTTTTCCCAAGGTCAGCCCTGGCCCCAAACCCCACTGTGACCTCCCCGCTTCCTACGGAACAGTGGTCCGCACAGAAATCCTGGAGGGCCTTGTTCCAAAGGCCTCCGCCCCACGAAGGGGGAAGAACTGGTACAGCCAGGGCCTGAGGAGCCGGGCTGTGGGCAGACAGCCTCGCCGGGGTCCCCCAGTTCCCGCGGACACATAACCTTTTTGTCTGGCCTCCTTTCTCATCCCACCCAAGCAGGAAGATGGATCATTCACTGCAAGTCTTCAGGTCTTGGCTCTGAGGGCTCCGATCCCGGGAAGCTGTGGTTAGCCAGCTCATTAGTCCTGGCTCTCTCCTGCTGATCTGTTTGTTGCTGGTGGATTTCAGCAGACTCCAGGAGTGGACCCTGAGAGGGGAGCTGGAACTGCCCCACGCCATCCTCTTTCACTGCTGCTTTGGTTCCCTCCCTTCCTTCCGAGATAGATGTGTCTCTGCAGCGGTTTCATAGCAGAAGGGCACAGCCCCGGACGCTGGCTCTGCCCAAAGCAAGATCCGGCCTCTGTGCTGCTCAGTGTGTCCGGTGCCTGCCCTTCCTTACCAGGCACTTGCAAGTGCCAGCCCCAAGCACAACCATGAGCAGAGTGAGCTCTGGAGCTCACACCTAAGGGAAAGGGGAAGCCCTCCCTCCACGCACAGACAGAGGGGTGTCAGGGGGAAGGATAGCTTTTGCTTCTACCCTTCTTGGCGAGCCCTCTTACTTACTAACAAGACAGGTTACCAGCTCATTTGGTGGATGTTTTACTCAACACAGAAGCCTTCTAAGGGGATGAAGAGCCAAATTCCAGGCTAAACTGGGTGTTTCTACCCTGGGTCCAGGGAAGCGCGCAGAGTAGTGAGAAATGTGGGCCTGCCGCTGATGGCAGGCTCAGATGTCCTGAATGGGTGCCAAGCCTGCGAGGGTGGTCCCCTGTGTCTCGGGAGGCCCCTAGGTAACCTCGAACCACCCCTGGGACCTTCCCCACTAACAAATTTGTGGGCCTTTTGTTCTATGTAATCTGGTTTTTCCAGCGAACCTTCAGAGTTGGAGGGGACTGTTCCCGTTGGCCCGCAGTGAGAGCTGTGGAGAGACTGGGAGGGAGAGGGGCTGGAGGTCATCACCGCGGGCTGAGCGCCGCCACACTGAACACCTGGGCCGCGGCCTTCCAGCCCAGCCCCCTCAGCCCGAGAAGCTGCTGCTCCATCATGACTCACAGGCTCCGGCGGCAGGGCTCTTAGGGTCCTCGATTATGGTCCTGGTCTTGTGACCCCAGAGCCAGGGGCTGAGGCACCAGACAGAGGGCTGGGGCGGCGGCTCAGGAGGGTGGGGTGCTCTCTGTCACCTCGTGAGTGGAAAGGCATAGGAACGCCCCGTGTTGTGTCTGCAGACTTTGCCAGACGTAGAATTTACTTCTCTTTATTCCTTTTCAAAGACAAAGGAACCGGCCCAGCCAACGTGATAGAGTAGAATAACGTAATGACACATTGGAACAGATAAAGCTTCCATTCCACCAGAAAGTTACTCTTTTGCTCGTGACTAAGCTGTTGGGGAAAAGAAAAGTCCTCTTTCCCATGCTTGTTCCCGGAAGCCAGGGCACCTGCAGACAGGGCCTCAGGGAGAGGGGCTGTTTCCCTCCGAAGGGGCTTCTCTCAGCCTCACCTGGGGAGGGAGAGCACAGGGCCCTGTGACACGCCCCATTTCTCGGAACACCCCTTTAGGCGCCTGGTTTTTGCTGTTCCGTCGCTGCCAACATTGGTAATGGTCATAACTTAATGCCAAGACGTGCAGGTGGACTTGGCTTATTTGTGAAGTGTGATGTTTTCTGGCTGCTCCAGCTGCAGCACAGTGATCTGTGATACCTGCCCAGACTTAAACCACTCCGTGTCACGCGGTGTGGGGCTGTCCCTTTCCCTGCTGTGACTTGAATCATTTAGAATGTGGAGGAGACTGAGCTCAGAAGTCATTATTCACCGACAGAAACACTTTGGTGAGGAGCAGGTTGAACCTGGAAGCTTGGGGACTGGGCCTGCTTGTGGGGAACCCGTGTCCCCCGCCCCGGGAGGACAACAGGGATCCCGTCACTCAGCCACCACGAGGTGTGTTTGAGGCCCCTTATTTCCAGTCCAAAGCTCCATGCAGTGGGTCGCCTAACTCCTGATATCACTGTGTTTTCTAAGAATCTCACGCTCAGCCTCTCTTTCCACATAGGAATAATTCGGGGAAGAAGTTAGGTAATGAAAAAGAGATGTTCAGAGCCAGGTGTGGTGGTATACCCTTATAATCCCAGTACTCGGGGAGGCTGAAGCAGGAGGATCACAAATTTAAGCCCAGCCTGGGCAACTTAATGAGAACCTGTCTCAAAATTTGAAAAATACAAATACAGATGTTCTGAACACAGAGAAGCACTCGCTGTTCCCCGTGTAGACTGCCTTTCTGTGGGTGGTGGACAGACTTTATCCACGGCCTTTCGGTGAACTGGAGAGTGACCAGGTGTCAGAGTGGGGGTTCTATACTGAGGTTGCCGGCCGGGTGACGCCTAGAGTTTTCTTGTAGGTTTGCTTCTTGTGGTCAGTCGCCTTCCCGGCTGGTAGTACTCTGCTTCTTAGCCCACTCGTCCCGGATGACTCACCGCCTGTCCCTCTGTGTCTCTCGCAGTGCCTTCTCCCAGTGCCTTGCTAGTGGACAACCCCACACCTTTTGGAAATGCCAAGGAAGTGATTGCAATCAAGGACTACTGCCCGACCAACTTCACCACCCTGAAGTTCTCCAAGGGCGACCATCTCTACGTCCTGGACACATCGGGTGGTGAGTGGTGGTACGCACACAACACCACCGAGATGGGCTACATCCCCTCCTCCTACGTGCAGCCCTTAAGCTACCGGAACTCTACCCTGAGCGACAGCGGCATGATCGACAATCTCCCAGACAGCCCGGACGAAGTGGCCAAGGAGCTGGGTCTGCTCGGGGGGTGGACAGACGACCAGAAGGAATCAGGCAAAGCCTACAGTAACAACCCTTTCTGGAACGGGGTCCAGACGAACCCATTTCTAAATGAGAACGTGCCAGTGGTGGCCAGCTTAGATGAGCTAAAGCCCAAAAGTACTGTGGATTTGCTGCTTTTCGATACAGGCACATTCACCGAATCCAGCTCAGCAACCACGAACAGCACCGGCAACATCTTTGATGAACTGCCAGCCACAAACGGACTCCACGCAGAGCAGCCAGTCAAGCGGGACAACCCTTTCTTCAGAAGCAAGCGCTCCTACAGCCTGTCAGAACTCTCCGTCCTACAAGCCAAGTCGGACGATCCTGCGGCATCCAGTTTTTTCACAGGTTTGAAGTCACCTGCCCCCGAGCAGTTTCAGAGCCGGGAGGATTTTCGAACTGCTTGGCTGAACCACCGGAAGCTGGCCCGGTCTTGCCACGACTTGGACCTGCTAGGCCAGAGCCCCGGCTGGGGCCAGACCCAGGCCGTGGAGATGAACATCGTATGCAAGCTGGATAGTTCTGGGGGCGCCGTGCAGCTGCCAGACACCAACATCAGCATCCATGTGCCCGAGGGCCACGTGGCCCCTGGGGAGATGCAGCAGATCTCCATGAAGGCCCTGCTGGATCCCCCGCTGGAGCTCAACAGCGACAAGTGCAGCAGCGTGAGCCCCGTGCTGGAGGTCAAGCTCAGCAACCTGGAGGTGAACACCTTCCTCATCCTGGAGATGAAGGTGTCCGCTGGGGTGAAGAGTGACGTTTTCAGCAAAAGCACAGTGGCCCTCCAGTGCCTGAGAAGCGACTCCAAGGAGGGGCCATACGTGGCCATCCCCCTCACCTACAGCTACGGGGACACGGTCCAGGTGCAGCTGGACAACCTGGAGCCCTGCATGTACCTGGCGATCGTTGCCCACGGCCCCAGCATTCTCTACCCTTCCACCGTGTGGGACTTCATCGACAAGAAGGTCACCGTGGGGCTCTACGGCCCCAAACACATCCACCCGTCATTCAAGACAGTGGTGACCATCTTCGGGCACGACTGCGCCCCCAAGACCCTCCTGGTCAGCGAGGTCACCCGCCAGGGCCCCAGCCCCGCCCCCGTGGCACTGCAGCTGTGGGGGAAGCACCAGTTCGTGCTGGCCCAGCCCCAGGACCTCCAAGTCGGTATGTTTTCCAACATGAGCAACTACAAGGTCAAGGCCAGCGAGCAGGCCAGGCTGGTGCGCGGCTTCCAGCTGAAGCTGGGCAAGGTGAGCCGCCTGATCTTCCCCATCACCTCCCACAGCCCTGGCGAGCTCTCTGACTTCACGCTGAGGGTGCAGGTCAAAGACGACCGGGACGCCATCCTGACCCAGTTCTGCGTCCAGACGCCGCAGCCGCCCCCTAAAAGCGCCATCAAGCCCTCTGGGCAGAGGAGGTTTCTTAAAAAGAACGAGGTGGGCAAGATCATCCTGTCCCCCTTCGCCGCCACCACGAAGTACCCCACGTTTCAGGACCGCCCTGTGTCCAGCCTCAAGTTGGGCAGGTTGCTGAAGACAGTGGTGCGGCAGAACAAGAACCAGTACCTGCTGGAGTACAAGAAGGGCGACGTGGTGGCTCTGCTCAGCGAGGAGCGCATCCGGCTGCGGGGCCAGCTGTGGACCAAGGAGTGGTACATCGGCTACTGCCAGGGGAAGGTGGGCCTGGTGCACGCCAAGAACGTGCTGGTGGTCGGCAAGGCTCGGCCCAGCCTGTGCTCGGGGCCCGAGCTGAGCACGTCGGTGCTGCTGGAGCAGATCCTGCGGCCCTGCAAGTTCCTCACCTACATCTACGCCTCCGTGCGCACGCTGCTCATGGAGAACGTGAGCAGCTGGCGCGCCTTCGCTGACGCGCTGGGCTACGGCGGCCTGCCGCTCACCTTCTTCTGCCGGGCCGAGCTGGACAGCGAGCCCGAGCGGGTGGCGTCCGTGCTGGAGAAGCTGAAGGAGGACTGTAACAACCCCGACAACAAAGACCGCAAATCCTTCCAGAAGGAGCTGGTGATGGTGAGTTCTAGCAGGCGTCCGGGCACAGGAGGGACCGGGGCCGAGGTCCTGCCGCCCGGCTCCTGGGGATCAGCTGGCTGGGTTGGCAGGGCACCCAGAGCACAAGGTCGCGTGTGTGACCCTCAGGGACCTGGGAGAGGAGACTCGGGTCTGTCTTCCTGCTGCCTCTGGAGCCCCTCAGGGGTCTCAGCAAGGCCTGTGGGTGCAGAGCAGGACCTGCACTCTGCTGCCTCGGGCTGGCTCTCTGGAACCGTCTGTGTCTGATCAGATTCCCAGCCCAGGCTGTGGTTCTGAAGGGAGGGAACCTCCGCCCAGAGCCTCGCCTGCCTGCGATGTGAGGCCTCTCCTCCAGCAGCTCCCTGTGCCAGGCTTCCCTCCGCCTCTTCCCGGGTTCTGGGTGAGGCAGGAGGACCTTAGCTGGGCCGGCACCCTGGGACCCGGAGCTCTCCCAGGAAGCGGGAAGTTAGTAACCCACTGCAGGGCCTGCTGCACGGTGTCCTAAGCCCTCATCCGCACCCCACACCCCCGCACTCACGGTGTGCTCACGCCAGGGGCACCTGGGGACACCTGGGGCCGGCGTTGCCCCACCCGCTCCCTGGCAGAAGCGGCTCAGCCATCCTTCTGGTTCCCTGGAAGCCCTTGAGATTGAGCCATGCTCCCCCTCCTGACCCTGTGGCTTTGATCCACTCTTACTGATCGCAGGAGGTGCTGCTGTCCTGCTCTGGCCTCACCCCATCGCCTCGTGTGTGAGCCCCTGTCCGAGTGGATGCGCTGTGAACAAAGAATGCAGTGCATGTTTAAGTTTTAGAACTTTATTGCAGTAAAAGACACATTGAATCCCCCTCAAAAGCTCCCCCTTCCTTTGAACACACCCCATCATCCCTGCAACTTTCTGAGCAGCTCTGGAGTCCTCTTTCCTGAGTGTCTTCAGTTGCGCTTTCCTGGCAGCCTCAATGTCCTGAATCGACTCAAAATGTTGACCTTTTGTGGTCATCTGGACTTTGAGGAAGAGCCAGGAGTCACACGGTGCCAGATCTGGTGAAGGAGATGGAGGAGGACACTAACGTTTTTACCAGCTGCCTTTCTGCTGGGTGGCACTAGGCAGCAGTACTCACTGTATTTTGGATCACATCTCATAAAGACCCTCAGGAAAGAGGGCTCCAGAGCTGCTTCGGGAAGTAGCACAAACGTGGGATCAGTGCGTTTGTAGCAAGGGTAGATATTGGAGGGGGTTTGTGGCAGTATGCTTTACTGCAGTATGTACTTTTAATGTAAACATTCACCATACGTTTTAATCATAGTGCATAAGAAGGTTGACCCAAGAGCAGCTGAGGGAGGCAGGCGTGCTGGTGCCCATGCTAGGGCTCTGCAGACCACCTGCATTCCAGCCTGGCAGAGCAGGACAGGACAAGGGACCCTCAGACAGGGGCCATGGAAACACACAGTGCAGGAGCTTGGAGCCAGCAGACCTGAGGTGCCCAGAGTGGGGAGACAGAACCGGATGTGGCAGTGGAAGGCGGTCAGGAACGCCCTGTGGTTGGCACGGAGGTGTCAGTGGGGTGGAAGCCAGGTCATCCCAGAGGCTAGGGACTGAGCGGAGGCAACCGGGCACCTGCTCAGACCCCTGCATGCTCCGTTCTGGGGGTGATGCGGATCTCATGGCCGCCTTCACCTGCATGCAGTTCAGAGCGCAACCCCTCCCCGGCCCGCCTGCAGGACGGACTCCAGAAACGGCCAACCCGCACTGGCTCCCCTGTGAAGCCTGGCTGCGTCCCTGCTCTCCATGATCTCGGGGTTAGGAGCTTTCACAGGACATAAACAGTACCGAGTGTCCCTTCTCCTGGAGCAGACAGAGGTGAGAGAGGAGCGGCCGCCCGGGCTTCTCCCCTCTGCGCTGTGGGACACCGGAGGTAGGCTTTGTAGTCTTTCCTGCCAGCTTGTTTTGAAATGATCAAACTGTTTGCTCGACTTGCCAGCGTGTCTGGAGAACATTCCCCTCTGCCCAGCGGAGGAGGAAATGAAACCTGACCTGGGCTGGAACTTGGCCCCTAGGCAAGGTTGGTTAAAGCCAAACTGGTTCCGCAGCCTGGGTCCCCAGGGCTTGGGAGCAGACGGTTTCGCCTAGAACCCAGGCTGACCGTCCGGCCCCAAGCTGCAGCCATTTCCCAGGATTTGTCCCGCTGGGCATTCGGGTCCTGCAGCCTGGCTACAGCTCTAGTCTGCCTGACCAGTGGGGATGCAGCCCAGATGAGCTGGCAGAGCCCTGCGGTGAGCCAGGAGGGAGGTCAGGGACACCACCAGCAGGCTGTGCCCAGGTCCTGGGCTCTCCACAGCCGTCAGCCTCCTTTCCTGCCCCTTTGGTCCTGGGAGGCCTGGCCCCCACCTCACTGCTGGGGACGCCCCGGCCCAGTTCCACAGGCGCTGGCCCTCCTGCCTGGAGCTGCTGCCCCATCCACACCTGGGCCTGCGGGGCTCTGGGTCACACCCCGCTTCTGTGCTCTGCGTCTGTCCCTGTCTGCGTAGTTTGGGAGCCTCTTCTAAGCCCCCAAAGGAGCTGCGTGAGGGAAGGCCTCTGCCCGCTCCCCTAGTGGGGCTCCTGTCCTCCCTCCCCACCAGCTGCCCAGCGGCCCAGGACTGTGCCTGTGGCAGGGTGCAGGACCCAGCCCTGGTGCCCACCACTGAGGGTGCTGGGCAGTGTTTGAGGCCTCGAGACGACAGAGCCCTGGAGCCCTGGGCTGGGGAGGAGCTGCCAGGTCTCCCTGGAGTGGGCACCACAGGTCTGAAGAGCCGTGAGGTCCAGTTCTGGTGCTGAGCAGGAGGAGGCCACCTGGAGGAGTTCGAGGCCACAGCCCCTGACCCAGAGCCAGGAGGAGGAGGAGCCTGGTCAGGGCTAGCGGAGGTGCTGGACTCAGTTCCCACTGAACATCTCTGGTGTCTACTCACTGCTCTTGCCTCAAGAACTCACTGTGAACAACCACATGAGCAAGACAGACCCCGATTGCTTTCTTTCCTCCTGGAGAGATTCAGAGTGTGCAGAAGTGGTGGAGTGGGAGCCTGAGGGATGCATAGGAGCCCTCGCGTGGGGAAGGGTGGTCGGGTCAGCGTGCACATCACGGGCCAGAGCTAGGGACGCAGACCTGCGAGGTGGGAGAACCTGCCAGAATCCTGGATCGGGGAGCACCGGGCGGGGCGTGGAGCCCAGCAGAGGGTGCTCTGCCCCCCCCCCCTCGCCGTCTTCCGTGGCTCTGAGGCCCCCACATGTCGAGACTCCCAGAGCCGGATATCCCGTCCAACTTCACCCCAGCACTGCCCCAAGGGCCCTCTGGAAGCCAGGCGTGGTGCAGACCCCCATCTCCCACGGCACCAGGGCAGTCCTCCTCGATTTTCCTCCATGTAAAGGCAGCGTGCTTGGCCCTGCGTGGAGCCTGGAGAATACCACACCGGAGAAGCAGAGAGAGGCGCAAGTCCTGCTGGCGTCTAGAAACCCCGCTTGCCCTGGGTGGAGATGACACGGATCCGCGAGTGTTTCCCACAGCTGTCTTGGGACGCGGCGTCTCTGCTGTCCCGTAGGGAGGGAGGAGGACTCAGCCGGCCACAAACAGGGCAGTGAGCATTGGGGCAGGGGCACCCATGGTGACCCGCAGCCCAGGGAGGAGTTGCTGAAGGGCCTGGGCCAGCGTCACGGCTGATCCTGGAGCCTCCACCAAGATGAAGCCTGTGTGTGCCGCAGCCGAAGTCGGTGGTGGTGTCTGTCCAGTCCCCCTGGCGGAGACAGAAGTGCAGGTGTCGTGTGCCCTTCAGAGGGCTTCTGTGAGAAATAAGAGGAACCAGTGCAGGATGCAAATCTGGGGGTGCTGTCAGGAGGTGAGGGCCAGGGTAACCCCGAAGAGCTCAGGAAGCTGGAGGGGGAGGCTGGGGCTTCGCTGTGCCTCAAGAGAAGCCCACTCTTACCTCGCAGGCTCTTGCAACCAGGGCCCCGGGATCCCTGCAGGAGGCCCCAAGGTGGGGGGTGCTACTGGCTGTGCTCTCGGGTGCAAATGGGACCCCAACATCCCGGAGCAGCGAACGTCTGCAGAACCCGAACCAGTACCCACTGTTCCCCTAAGCTCCAAACAGTAGGCACCTGGGCCTGAGGTCGCCCATCCTTGTGAACGCCCTCCTGGGACACAGCCATGCCACCTGGCCTCTGGCTGCTCTCAGGCCACATCTGCAGGGTGTAGAAGTCACCGGAGACCGTGTGGCCCACAGAGCTGCCGCATCTGCAGTCTGTCCCGGTACAGGTGAAGTTCGGTGGCCCTGACTTCGTCCTGGCTCTCTCAGGTGAAGGAGACTCCACCTGAAATCGGGTGGTGCTCTATTGGTGCACCATGTGGCCCAGGGCTGACACGTGGTGCACACCCACGCTCGACCCGCAGAGTACACATAGATCGCCCCGTGGCGGTGCAGGAGGAAGCCGGGGCCAAGCTTCATACAGGCTGGGAAGGGGCACCCTGGTGAGGGGAGCGGGACTTCGGGCAGAGCCACAGCTGCCCCAGCAGGGCCAGAGCGGCCAGCGCTCTCAGGACCTTTGTATCTGAGCCCAGAGGCCCCAAGGAGAGAGTGGTTTGGTCGCTTCTGCCAAGAGTGACTTGAATCAGAAGCAGGTGACTTGGACGTGTTTTGTTGCCTGAAAAATAAGGCCACCTCTGGAGCCAGGCACCTGGACACAGGCACTGATGTGTGTTTGGTACAGTTGAGTGACTTGGTGTTAAACTCTGCAGTCACCCCACGTTCCTTCCCGTGACAGCAGAGGCGGCAGAGGGGCCCTCAGCCTGTGGCTCAGAATGTCCCCTGCCCCACACCACACCAAAAGATTAAACCCACGCTCCACCCCATCCCTACCCCACCTCTACCCCATGCACCTGAAGGTGTAAGGTGGGGCCTTTTGTCTTGCTGAAGCGCAAACCTGGTCTTTTTATTTCTTTAAAGCAATGTCTTGGCTCTGTCAGAGCTCAGGTTGAAAGCTGTAAGCCCTAACACACCCTGACGATGTTTGTTTGGTTCCATACCTGGGGTCATGTGGTTCCCCCAGAATCAGTGGCCGGTGACTGGAGCCCCAGGAAGTTGGGCCCAGTGTCCACCTCTGGGGCTGGCATGAGCCACCACAGAGTAAGGAGGACCCAGGGGGGACCGCACCAGGGGTGGGGGCCCGTGTCTTCCCTCAGCACTGTTCCCAGGGTGAGCGACAGCAGTGGGCATCGGTGGCCCTGACTGGTACGACTCCCTCCGCTGATCCTACCCAGAAAAGGCCCCCGCCTCGGCCCTGACACACCCGCAGAGCTGCCCTTCCTGCCTCACCTGTGCCTCTCCCTCCCCAGGCCTTGCTGAAGATGGACTGCCAGGGCCTGGTGGTCAGGCTCGTCCAGGACTTTGTGCTGCTGACCACAGCCGTGGAGGTGGCGCAGCGCTGGCGGGAGCTGGCTGAGAAGCTGGCCAAGGTCTCCAAGCAGCAGATGGATGCATACGAGTCCCCCCACCGGGACAGGAACGGGGTGGTGGACAGTGAGGTGAGGGTGAGGCCTCGGGGCGGGAATCCAAGCCATGCTTTGCAGGGGGTCAGGAGCTGGATGGGGATCAGGGCTCAAGCCGTGACCGTCCTGGGCCGGGCCACCCTGCGCCGTGCCGGGTCTCCTCTCAGACTTTGGCAGAAGCTGTCTAGGGGGAGCCTCGCTCGGCCTCCATGGGTCACAGGATGCTTACTGCAAGACAGCTGGGGCTCACAAGACCCCGGAGCAGGAGGTACCAAGAATGATGCGGGCGGCCTTGGAGAGCCAAGAAGGGCCCCCGGCTGTGCAGACACACACCCTGTGTGCCTGCCACTTCGCTGGGCTCTTCTCTCTCTCTCTCTCTCGTGGTACTGAGGATTAAGCAGAGAACCTTCACACTGAGCTACATCTCCAGCTGTTTTTTTAAAATTTCAAGACAGGGTCTGCCTAAGTTGCCCCCGCTGGGCTCGAACGTGCCACCCTCCTGCGTCAGCCTCCCTGAGTGTGAGGATTGTAGGTGTGCACCACCACACCCAGTTCCTCACTCTTAGATGTCCTGGTAACCAGGTGAGCTAGGTATGGAAAGGAATGTCTCAGCCCACCTAATCTCTTCCACTCTCTCTGTTTCGCGGCCACACCCCTAGGCCATGTGGAAGCCTGCCTACGACTTCTTACTCACTTGGAGCCACCAGATCGGAGACAGCTACCGGGATGTCATCCAGGAGCTGCACACCGGCCTGGACAGGATGAAGAGCCCCATCACTAAGCGCTGGAAACACCTCACAGGCACTCTGATCCTCGTCAACTCGCTGGACATCCTGCGGGCGGCCGCCTTCAGCCCCGTGGACCACGATGATGACTTTGTGATCTGAAAGCAGGCCCTGTCCCGCCACGCCCGCCTGGACCATGATCCCGGGCCGAGCCCAGCACCTGTGCTGTGGGGGCTGCGTGGCCTGGGATGCAGGCTGCTTCCCATCCGGGCCAGGCTCTCTCCTGCAGGTTATTGCCAATCGGATAGCTTCCTGTTGGTTGAAGTGTACATTTAAATTTAAGATCACTTTGTTTTTAAAGACTGGGGAGGGGACATGTGAGAGGTGGTATCTAATTTTATAATGCACCATGAAGGTTAAGAAAACAAGCTTCGTAGGTCAGATGCTGTTGAGTTTCTATGTTGTTTAAAGACCTTTTTAAATTATGTGACAGATGTACATAGGTATTTAAGGGCCACAGGGCGCTCCCTCCGACTCTCAGCCATACTGTGCATTTCCACTCCCGGGTGTGGACAGGGAGATGGAGTAGCAGAGCGATTTTGCAGATGGGCAGTCGCTCCTGCCCTCCCTGAAAGGCCCCGTCCCCGCCCTCCCCTTATTTTCTTACCTTCCTCCCTTCGCCTCCTGCTGACTCCCTGACCATCCACAGAACACAGGAGCTGCAGTGAGATTGTGTGGGCAGCTAAATCCGCAGGGCAGGGCCAGGTGTGGGTGAGCGATTTCTGCCGCCGTGTGTGCCCGTGTCAAGGGTGGGAGTGGGGGGCTCTAGGCCGCTGTGGGTGTCTCCCTCGGGCCAGCAGGGCCTGCAAAGCCGTGGCTCCTCAGGCAGGATGAAAGCCACCCCAGCTCCCTTGCCCACGCCGAGACCGTGGCTGATGTGCCCCCTTCCCCAAGCTCTGGGTCCCGTTTCATCTCAGATGTACATCCTCCCCTCCTGGTGTGCCCAGGTCTCCACAGACGTGAGCAGCAGAGGGGAGACCACTCATTGCACAAGAGAGAAGCTCTTCAGAGCAGGTTGAACACCTTCTGCAGAGGGAAATGTTTCCCTCAGGGTGTGTGGTTGCCTTAGTAACCTGCACAGTCGGGGGTCAGCTTGGATCTGCTGCACTGATGCCATCGCCTGGCGGCTGTGGCATCTGAGAACGGGGCCCGAGGCAGGTCAGCAGAGTGAGGCAACCCCAGTAATGGGTTGGTCTGCAGGGCTGTTGGGTCCTTGGGGATCCCCGAATCTCTCTAAAACTGCTCTTTGGAAACCTGTTAATTACTTAGGCTAATCAATGTATAATCCCTCCTTGAGCTGAAGCATTGTTCTGTAGCCTCTGATTCTGACACTGAAGACTGACCCACGAAAACACCACACATCTCCTCCCCGTCGTCACCCAAAAGCACCGCTCCTCCCTCCATCCGGCCCAGAGATGTCCCTCACCTTCTCCCCAAAGAAGAAACAAAACCAGTTGCACCTTAAACCATGGATATTTTTCCTCAGGGGCTTTAAATAGTTTCCTATGCAACGTGTCTTGTAGCACAAATTAAATTCTACAGAAGTTGCAGTAAATTTTATCTGGATATTTTAACCTGTCAGGTGTGTGTGTGTTTTCTGTACCCAAACTTGAAATAAAACAACAAGGAAACCTAGTGGAAGCCGGGACACAGGTGCTGCAGTCATTAGGCGGAGGCCAGTGCTGCATGGAGCAGGCACAGGGTAGCAGGCTGGGTTGCCTCGTTCTTGGCCTCATGCACTTGGAACTGGTGACCCCAGCCCAGGGGACGGGGTTTAGGAGCAACTGTTGTTTCCATGTGCACTGGGTGCTGTCCTTGAGGCACTGACTGGGAATGCCACTTTGCTGGGAGAGAGCTGTGAGTGCAGGAACTGCTTCTGGAGATCAAGCCCAGCTCGGGGAGGGAAGAGGCTCGTGGAAAGCCCACTGGAGCAAGTGTCCTTAATCCAAGGCCTGGAGGCCGAGCAGGAAGCAGCTAGACCAAAGGCAGCTGTGAGCCGAGACCGCGTTTGTGTGGTGTTGACGCAGGGCACGTGGGACTAGGGGAGGCTGAGCCCTCCCGGGGCGCATGGCTCCCTCGCTGAGCAGGAGCCCCTCAAGCTGCACTGTCCACGCTGCACATGTTCATCCTGCCTGGCACAGGTTGGCTGGGGAGTGTGTAAAGGCCTGGCCCCGGCCTGGGGCACTGCTGGGAGCTGGAAGAACCTCGGAGACGTGAGGCCCGCTGGAGGGAGTTGGGTCTGGGAGCGGTGAGCCTGGAGGGCACTGTGGCACCTCAATCTCTTCCTCTCTGGTCTCCTTTGCCACGCACTCCTGCCGCGCTGGCTGTGCAGCCATGGGGCCCATCAGTCATGGGCTGAAACCATACCCTTTCTCTTTGGAATTTGCTTGCCGAGTACGGAAAAGCGGACTAACAGCTGCTCTGCCAGCACCCGCTCCGTCACACCCACATTCATTTTGCAACTGAGGGCGTGGTTCCGTCCAGTCTCAACTTCACATTGCTGATAGGGAAGGCAGGGATTTTAACCCAGGCCGGCCCTAACAAAGCCATGAATTGGGTGGCTTAGAACACCAGAATTAGATTCCCTCCAAGTCCTGGAGGCCAGGAGTCTGCAGTCAAGGAGTTCTGTGGTCACCTGCCTGTGTCCAGGTCTCTCTGTCCTCATGAGGACATCAATCATCGGGTTCAGCCTAATCCAGTACAAATCTTGTATCTGCACAAGGTCACCTTCCCAGTAGCAAAGGTTAGGTCCCCATCCTGTCCTTGGGCCACAGTTAAGCTACTCAACTGCCTGCCTCGTATTCTAGGAAGCTCAGTTAAAACCTTCAGTCTCCAGGGATGTAGCTCAGTGGTGCACCACCTGCCTCACAACCACAAGGTCCTGAGTTCAATCCCCAGTACCATCAAAAAAAGAGAGGTAATTTTGTCCCTGATAAATTACTGCTTTGACCTTCCATCAAAGCATCAATGAGTCACGTGGGGCATGTGCCCAGTCATTGTTTCCTGATCTTCCTGCTCCCTCCCCTTCCAAGGCACCTGGCAGCAGGTGACTGTCACCTGTCACCCAGAAGCAGTACTCACGCTCAGGCTCTGACCTGGGTCCCCAGACTCCAGCAACTTCTGGGTCTCCCAGCTGTTCCCAGGCTGTGACCAGACCAGACCTTTCCTCCCCCTTGCTGTCAGCCCCACTCCTTCATTCATTTTTGTCCAAATGTCCTAACCCCCGCTTCCTGTCCACTTCCTTTTGTCTCTGTCCCCCATCCATGGGACACAGGAGCCCTTCCTGTCCCCGTCTGTGGCCCCCGTCTGTCACCTACAGGTTGCACACTGAGCTCTGATGACGGCAATCTTGCCTCTGTATTCCTTCGTGCCTCAGAGGCTGGTGCAAGCCATTTGTAGGATGAAGGAATTGATTCTCTGCAACCGAAAGGCCTTGAGCAATCGGCGATGGCTTTGGGTATTGGAGTGAACAGATGGGCTTCACACTGTTTGCTGCCCATATCAAAAAGGAGTGGAAATGTGTCCACTATGGAATGCATCAAACCCAGCTTAGGTTCTAAGAGGTCAAAGAGGAACACTGCAGACATGGTACTCAGTGAAGTTTGTCCTGAGCAGTCACATTTTTAACGATTCATCCTCTGGCACAAGTGAAACATTTTCGGTTTAGTCCGTGATTTATGTAGCAGTAGAATTCGGCTTTATGGAGAACAGACCAACATGAACTCACTTAACTGTCTTTTGCCATAGACAACCCCCCACCCCAGCTACCTGGTGCAGGCTGTGACACCTCAGAATTATGTAAAGGCATGAAATAAAACCTGGGAGAGCAAAGAGAACCAGTCATAGATTTTTTAAAAATTGTGATGCAGTAATATGTGCTCTTCTTTATACATTGAATAACTCGATCTTGTAGTAAATCTCATATCCACCAGAAACTCAGGATATGATGAGCATTTAGATATCTGCAAAAACACTAACGGATATGAAAATATGTGAGAGTTCACAGGAATGTCTTTAGCCTCACAGAGCTTCCTCACCTGCATGCATTCTTGAAGGAAATGCTAGTGCTCAGTTAAACGTTAATGAAAATAAAGATGTGATTGATCCCACACATAGACGCCCTCATCCTGAGGAGACAAGTCACCTAGATTTGCTGTTCATGGTGTTTCGTGTTTTCTGCTCCATCCTAGCAAGGATGGTATTTTTAAAGCTTTGCTTCTCTGATTTACTATTCTCCCTAATGGAGAGGGAAACCCTAAAGAAGTTAGTTGGTTGTGCCTGTGACTTTAACTCTCAAAAGTCATTTTTCCTAATTTCCTGTTCCAGTTGGTTTACTTTCCTGAATAACTGTGCCCATGTAGGTAGGTAGATAGCCGAGGGTGCAGCACCCCAGGGAGCTGCAGGCAGACTGGCAGAGTGGACACACTGCTCATCAGCGTGTGTGTGGATGCCCCATGTGGCACACACATGGCTCAAGGGAGTCTGAGGAGAGAAGAGCCGCTCCCCAGGCCTCTAGAAGTCCCTCCATTTGGGAAGATCTGGGCCCAGGAGCAGATGCCTGAAGTTCACAGCAGACTCACAAGCTGTTGGCCCAGTGTGCCAAGCTAGCAGCAGAGCAGGAGAGAGCCCGCTGGGGGATGGCAGGAGTGCTAGGGTTGTGACAGGAGACAGCAGGCCACAGGGACCATCCGGGAGGATCTGATGCTTATTAGTGACAGGCGTTGACTAAGCATTTGCTATTTTCCAGGCACTGTCCTAGGCCCAGGGACCCTCCGTGCCATGGGTTCTGAAGCCACAGGTTCAGCTCACCACAAGTTGAAAGTATTCGGGAGGAAAATCATGTCTGTATTGAACACTGTCGGACTTGTATTTCTTGTCATTCTTCTCTGAACTATACAGTGTAACAACTACTTACATAGCACTTACATTGTACTGTATGTAATCATGAGGATTTATTGTACCCTAGAGGATATGTATACATTATATGCAAATACAAAGCCATTTTAGAGGGGACCTGAGCACCCTCAGATTTGGGGATCCTCGGGGGTCCTGGAACAAGCCTCCCACAGATATTAAGAGACAGCTGTACCGAAGATATCTGGAAAACCCCCAAATGCTTGGAAATTGCCCAACACACTTTTAATCTCCAGGTCAAAAAAAGAGGTTTCAAGGCAAATTTGAAAATGTTAAAATGAAAATGAAAACCAATATATTGAAGTTCTAGGATGCACTGAAAGTCATGCTCACAGTGAAACTTGGCATTAAATGCCATACATGGATTTATGCTGTGCCTTAAATACGAGGCGTCTGCAAACCGATCCCCCCCATAGAACAGCTGTAGTTTAGAGAAGTTGGGGTTTAATGTGCTTAGCAAAGGACAAAGGGGGGAAAGGAGGGAAGGGCTATTGTCTGGATGCATTCCCTCAGAAATTCACGTTTTGGAACTTAATGGCCAATCTTGGGCTATCAAGAGGTGAGCCTTTAGAGCTATGAAGGGTCCTCCCTCAAGAAGAGGACAAAAGCCCTCATGAAAGAGGTTTGAGGCCCCATAGTATTTGGCGAGCTTGCCTGCCTCCCACCTCGAAGATAGTGTTCAACCCTCTGGGGGACACAATGTTCATGGCGCCATCTTGGAAGCAGAGACCAGACCCTCACTAGGCACTGAACTTGTTGCTGCCTTCACCTTGGACTTCTGGCCTTTAGAGTTGTAAGGAACAAATTTCTGCTCTCTATAAACTGCCTGCTCTTGGGTATTTTGTCAGAACAGCCCACACAGATCACCCGGAAGCTGGGCCAGGGGAGAACAGCCTCCAGGGTCAGCCTCCACGTCTTAAGAGTCTGCCCAGAGGGAAGAGGCTTCAGGGCTCTTGGAGAAGGGCCCGGGTGGCCCAGAGACACTCAGGGATGGTGACAGCAGGGCGGGATGTGGGAGCAGGAGGAGAACCAACTCCACCTGCCTGATGGGGTGGGTGGCTGGCGGCCTCTGAGAAGGTGGCAGGGCCTCAGCTCTGGAGGCCCCTGGTATCAGTGGATGGTTGTCCTAGAAAGAGCAAAAGGAGGGCGAGAGGCTATGGGTGGGCAAGAGAGCTGAGCAAGATGCAGATAGGGGTAGGAGCAAGGGGTAGGACTTTGGCTCTCAATAGAAGGATTTAAGGAGGAGCTGAAAGACTTTGCACCTGCGTGCCTAGCCTTTGAGAGAAGGCCAGAGAGAAGTAGGAAATACTTAGACCCCTGGACACCACCTGTGTGCCCTTTTCCCCTCTCATCTTATTTCCCCACCATCTTACTGGCCACTGGGCTCCTGAGGAGGCCACCTCTCCTGTCCTCTCCCTCTCCAGGGCTGCTACTTTAGTCCTAGCCTCCATCCCCTGCCCCCATTGCTGCACTCCAGCCCCGTCCATCCACCCATCCTTCACATGGTCATCGGTTGGGCCTCCTGAAACATAAACTTATGTCCCTCTCTGCCCACCTTCCTCCTCTAGCAGCTGAGTGGATGCCCCTAATGCAGCCACTGGTTATCATTGGCAATGAAGCTTCCATAGGGACGCAAAGGAGACAGACAAGAACAGCACGC